TGTACGCACTGTTCGCACCTTTCCACGCGGAGACCCGGCGGAAACACTGCGACATCATCGCCGCAGTCGCCGACATTACACGGTTGTTTACTCCGCCGGACCACGAATATTTTGACTGCACATTCGAGGTGGGTCTTTGGTCTTGGCTCGTGCGATTCAAAATTCTTCAATTCTGGCGTTTAGGTTTGTTTGGGCATAGTGTCGCGGGATATTTGGGAGCAGTTGCCGACACCGCTGTGGAGGCTTTGCCTCGCAAGTTTGGTGTTTGCTTCGTCCTCTGGCGATATTGTGTAGGCTATTTCGCAAGTTGGAATGGGCTTGATTTGATCGTTTGCACGTTCGAGCGTGAGGGAAGCTCATTGGAGGGGCATAGTGCGAGCGGTTCCTTCAATCCTGTCCAGAATCCTCGCCAATCAAGTCGAGGCCGTCTATACGACACGCTGTCAATAAGCTGGTCGGATTATGCCCGTTCGACTCGGGCTCGAGCCATATTCGGAGACCCAACGTTTTTATCTAAGGCTCCAACCATTTCCATTTTAAGCAGTAAGATACCGTTTAAATTTCCGTTTAGTTTATGGATCTGCTTAAATGGTAAACGGATAGTGAACAAACGGTTTAAATGGTTGTGAAAATAAACCACCTGGGGACCGATTTTTTTCGAACATCAGTACAATTATGGGGCACGACAAGATGGGTGAGCGCTTGAAATAACCACAAAGGTGTTACCTCTCGCCGTGGATTATCGATTGACGAAATGTTTCCACGATTGACCGCCCCCAGGCATCTCCGCGGAACCAAACTCTTACCTTCAGGCCCTAAACGACCTCCAGAATCAAAGTCTGAGACATATATGGGAGGTTACTTTCTCATTGATGAATCATTTTCTACGTGGAGAATGCGGCTTGAATTCATTTCGTTCCTGGCGGATGAATAGATGAGGAATTCCACAAGAGCCACAGGATACACTTCAGAGGAGAGCCGAAGGTCTCTGTTACACCGCCTCGAAGTGCGTAGTGGGCATCAATTAGAATTGAGTCTCACGCCCACGTTCCATTCATATAATACTCGTACACCATTCAACTTCAATGAAATCACTAACCAATTCCCGCGCTGCACCTATTCCTCGCCCCTCACTAAATAATACGCCGCCCCAACCATCTCGAGCCCATGCCGCTCGCCGAACTTGGCGGCGTCCCAGTGGCGGCGCGCCTCGGTGCTCCCTCCGCGCTCCGGGGCGTCCGCGGGGAGGGAGAAGTTCGGGGGCTCGCGGAAGAGAACGAACGCTAGATACAGGTGATGTAAAAGCGCGATTTATGATGATTTTTGACAAGGAGTCAGGGACGCACTGTATCGATGGATCCCGCTCCCCTTCGGTGGGCCCGGCGGGCGGTAGGCGTTCGCTGCGGGGGTGGGCTGGAGTGCGGGCTGTGTGGGGTCTTCAGGAACCGTCAGGCCCGTTATCTAGTCAGATCCGCGTTACATTCTCCCTTGACGACGATCTGAAGTGAAAGGACGCACCACCCAATGCCGAAACTGACTACTCGTCGGCTGTGCAGCACTCGGCGCGTCGGGATCGAGCATCCCGAGCGTGTATCGTGCTTCCCCGCTCTTCAGCAGCCCATCGTCCCCGAAATCGGACTCGCTGGGCGCAGCGGCGATGACGATCCCCGGTGGGTCGACGGTCTCGGACAGCGCGACCTCTGCGCCGAGCGCGACGGGCCCGGAGGGGAGGACAATGGAGAGGAGGGCAGTGGGGCGGAAAGCGGGGCCGAGGACGGAGGGGATGAGGCCTGCGCTGGCGAGCGCGGCGGTCGCGGTGCTGAGGGGGTCGATGAGCGGCATGGCGGTGCGGAAGAAGGAGGCGGGCCGGGGCACGGGCCGTTTTCCTTCCAGTGATGCGTCCGTTGTTTGTCTGACTCTTGTCTTTTGCGGCGATGGATAAGACTCAGGATAATATTACCCAGCGCGGTCCCGTTTCAAAACATGCTGGGGTGTAGCTAAGTACATCGGCCGTAGAGAATGTACCTCACTACTGTGAAGCTAGATGGTGTTTTCTCCGCGCGCAGTTTCCTTCCACTGATCCACCTGGACTCGCCTACATCCCTGATCCTTGGATGACTTCAGGATGATCTTGGGTCTACTCATTTGCCCCTTGTTGATCCCGAAAATCGGGGTCTTTGACGCAAGCAAGACGAGCTGCTGCTCAACTCCGACACCGGCTCGATGGCGGACAGTCCGCACCCTCGGACCCATTGTTATGAATCTGTGCACTTCACCGCGGGAGATGTCTGTTCGACGCGGGCTCGATCCATGCATGCAAGAAGTCGTCCTTCGTTTTCTTCTTTTTCTCGTAGGCGTAACTGATTCTTCGTAGAGCTCCTTTCAACGTCTCTGCTCGTTTTTACGCCCGGGATCATTTTTTCCCGTGGCAAGCGTTTTCCGGTGGTAAAAAGTCTATTCTAATTCTCGTCCAAGCGCAGGCGTGCCTGGCAACATGTTTCGGGAGCATGCCGCACAATCAACCGTTGATGCGTGAGTTGCTTTTAAATTGGCTCTCCCGTACACCTTTCCTGGAAACTCCACGATGGCCCATCCGCTCCCACCGTTTTTCACACGCATGGTCTCAGGGGGTCCACCCGTTTGCTCCCAAACCCTCCGAGCACTGAGTGGCGCTGAGCTTTGGCTGAATTAGCCATCGCGCACTGACGCGCAGCGTTCGCACTCGAGAGCTCCCCGGCCTCAGGGTCGTACACCGTCACAGACGCAAGAGATGTAATATATGTTCGTGCAGGTTAGATTCAGCCATGAAGCTCAGCTTGTCGAAATTCCTGGATGCCAATTCGGATACTCATCCGGGGTGCGATCCGTTTTCTCGTTCTTATTCTTATTCTACCTACGCTCTCGTGGGAGAACGCTTTCTTTCTGCAGGGCACGGCCACTTCAAAATCTCTCAGATTCGTAAAAGGCTTCCTGCTCAGCAGATTTGTTCCCCTCTACGGCTCCCAGGTGGCTGCCCAGTCCCACGCGGAAAGACGACGGCTGATGTTCACCTGTTGAAGCCGCCCAACGATTCCTCTCGTATTGGATTTTAACCGGTGGAAGTCCGCTCACGGATTGGTTTAGTGGATTCGACGTTATCCTTCGACCATTTGGTAGAGGTCAGTACCTATGCTGGGCTCATTCTTGAAGCTCTAGTAGGTATCGATGGTCTCAGGATCGCACCTAAAATTTACCGCGGCGGTGAGATACATAGTATATTCATCTTGGTGTCGAGATTGTTTCCAGGTGCTCCCGGACTGCTCGATCTTCTCATGCTATGTTTGGGCGACACATAAATACTCGTACCACCCCGTCACACACGTCGGCTCATTGGGTGTTCAGGCCTCCTCACCCCCATGCACCGGACGTTTGAGTTACTGGAATGCTTCACGATGCTTCTGGGCCTCCGGTCTCCTTGGACGCCAAGGACCCACAAGCAATCTGTATGGATTCTACGAATATCTGATCTGGATGGTATCTGTCGGACTGCCAACTAATTCGCACACTGATCGCCTGTGCAGTGCAGTTCGGGAAACTATCTGCCAACCCCAGAATAGGACAGGATGAGTACTACTACTAGAGAGCGACCAGGTTGTCATCATATCCTCTTTCACCCTGTTCTGCTCTGTGACTCAGCGAGCTACGGTTCCTAACCTTCCTTTGAATGTGGGGATCCATGCCGTCGATTGCTGGCCTGTCATATCTGCTCATCCTTTTGGCGGCTGTCGCGGATGCCGTGGACCCCTCCCTCACTGTGGTTATTCCCGAGGCTGTCGAGATCTGCCCCCTTCGTCTCGCAGCTGCAGTGAGTGGCACCATTTATAACAACCGTCGGGTGTCTGACTTCCAATGTTCACACTGAAAGGATTGCCCAATCCATATATCTACATTGCCCTCCTCGCCAACATCCACATTCATAGCAACCACTAGTGACTCATTGTCCCGCGATTCAGCGGTTAGATCCATCGTGTCTACCCCTGAAATCTCGTCGGCGACCACCGACACTGTCATCAGCACCTCAAGCCCAGCAATTCCTCCAGGTGGAAGCTTACCGGTTGGCAATAAATTCTCTACCCCCATAGCACCCAATAGCGACTCCTCGTCGCACGTTTCAACCGTGGCATCCGGCGTGTCTACTCCCAGAATCTCGACATCAGCCACCAGCACTGCCATCAGTACCTCAGCCCAGGCAGTTCCTCCAGCCGGAAGCTCACCAGCTAATACAACTTCGACCTCATCTAGGTAGCCTTGATGCCTCCGACAAGCACATATCTCACCACCTTCCTTCCACAGACAGAGAGCCCGGACGGCAGCGATCGCAGGCTCCGTTGTGGCTGTCTGCATTGTGGTCGGCGTCCTGCTCCTTATACTGTGGCGCCGACGGCGCGTCGCCCAACTGATGCTCCCGCGGCAATTCCCTCGCGACGAAATACGAACAGCGATGCGGCCTACCCGCGGGGCTGATACGGAGAAGAACACGGATCGCGAGCCGCTTGGTGGTACCTCCCACCAGGCGGATTTTATGCGTGCAGGGCCAGAAAACGAGGTACCGTCGAACGCTGAGGTAGAGGCTGACAACAATCACAATCGCGAGGAGGGATTGACGGAGCGAATGCGGCGGCTTGAAGCCCAGATGGAGTCGCTGTTGACCCTGGGAGTGCCCGAGGGTGCTCCGCCCAGCTACGCAGGATAAATTCACGCTGTGTACGAATTGTGATACCAACGGAACCTTTTCTTCGGATGGATTTTTGCGTACCAAAGGTCCGCGGGATATATCGTTTTCTATACGCGTACAGCAACTCTTGTCTTCTATTTCATTTTTTGCCCTTAATGTCCTCCCTGAATTCAGGTTTTATTTCCTGTTGCGGATGCCCAGAGTCTCACTTCCACAGGGGCAATGTCCATCTTATTTTCGCAACCAGGTTGGCTCACCTATCGAAGAACCATTTCCCAGATATAACGGCTCGATGGCGGAAGGTCGGCGCCTGTGTTTCATCTCGGATGGACTAATTCATCGCAGGAGGTGCCCGTTCGACTCGGGCTCGAGCCATGCGCGATCTTGAAGCGGGTTTTTTCTTTCCAACCACAAGCAGTGACTTCGCAATGTTTATCTCGGTGAGAGCGCTGATATTACCCTATTAATATATGACTTATTACAACGACCCTTCTGGCTGAGATGCCCTAAGTATTTTTGTGGCCTGCATCAGTATCTGCGCAATGATCTTCGCCACGGCCTGCTTGAGCAGGTTCGCACCCTCCTCGTCCAGCACATCGCCGTTCCACCTTCCCTGGGGGACGCTGTCTGCGACCGAGCCTGCATATGTGGGCGACGGTGACGCGGCGGGCAGAGGGTCGATGCCCGCCGCGCCCGAGGCGTAGAAGCGCAGCTTTGTCCCGAAGGCGCTGACGGCGTAGAGCTTCGGTAAGGGACGGCGCGCGGAAGGCCAGCGCGGGACGACGATATACGTATTTTCGTTGACCGTGATGTCCGACAACGATTAGCGCACTCGACTCGATGACGAAGATTTATGTAACAGGGGAGAGGGGAGAAACGCAAACGCAAATGCACCTGCCATTTCGCAATGCCGGCTTCGCCGCTAAGGTGGCAGAGGAACTACGCGCCGAACGGCATGTTCGTGAGGTAGGACGCGATCGGCGTGTCGGAGTTCTTGTTCATGTTGACTGAGCGCGAGCTTGCCACGCTCCATGTCCGTGAAGACGCCCTGTGTGTCCGGGCTCGGCGTCGCGAGGAGAGGGGCGACGCACAGAACCACCACGCGCACGTCGACGACGCGGCGACCTTCACGCCCGGATCGCCTCCTTTGCCATCTTGACGAACTCGAGCGTGCGCGCGGGCTCCTCGTCGTACCCCATCGGCCTGCATGCGCAATCAGCGAACAGCAATTTAAAACGTGGACAGCGCCACACGGACACGGGGTGCATATCTTGATGCGTACTGCTCGCAATCTCAATCTCGTTATCGATCCCTCCGAGCGTCGGCTTGTTCGCGAGGCCTTGGTCATAGACGAATTCCACGCAGTGTACGCTCGGCTCTGCACCGGGGCGGCCGTGACGTATGACCCGTTCAGGAACACGTTGTTCCCTGCGGCCGCGTTGAAGGGGTCAGATCTTGCTTGGCCTGCAGGATACGGAGGCCATATGCAAATCCAACAAAGGAGGAAAGTGAGGCTGACCTGGGTAGACGGACATGGGTACGAGGTGGCGCCCTTCGCGACCCAGTCCAGACTGCGCAGTCCACCTGAGAATAACGTTAACCAAGAACGTAAGAGAGGACACACGCAGGGGCCGTCAACAGCGATTGCGAGCCCGCGGCCTGCACCCATTCGACCCTCGTCGTTCGCGCGGTTCTCGAAGCACCTGTGTGCGTATCCATTAATTCATGTTCAGGACCCACTGCAGACATCAGGAAAAACCCCCTTTGCCAATTTTCCAAAAAGTGCTGACAATTTTCAACAATCTGCCGATGGCGAGAATTGGCAAGAAATGTGCACCATATCCGAGCAATTGTTGAGCAATTGTTGCGATTGATCTAGATCAGCGGCTGTGCTGCTAAATTGCCACGCTTGACACAGGCTGGTATTTTCCTCGACGCGTTCGCTGCACCCTCGCTTTTAGAAATTCTGATCATAGCAACATTTGTGTCAATATATTTAAGGATCTATGGGGTCAGCATCTAATAAGGTCCACTTTATTTAACGGTAATGTACGCATGCCGGTCAGACCATGGGTTCACATAAAACTTTGCAGCCAAGTCCAACACATTCTGGCTTGTCCAAGTGCGTGGAGCGACAGGACCAAACTGGGGAAATAAATGAATACTCCGCCGAATATTACCAATAGGTATAATGCTGGCAACTCTCTCGGCGGGTTTTGAAATCTTGTACATCAGATGGTTGGGTTCCGGGTGTTTGGGGAACGCTGAGAACCACTCAACATATGTGAGATGTTCAGGACGATGAGCCCCGGGGAACAGCGAGTCCGTGATCTTGGGTGATAGCTTGAAAACCACGCGCACTCGGCCAACACGATACCCTGGACCCGCGGACAATTAGAACAATCTTTAACTGTGAATGTGCCATACCTGATATGCCCGTGTGATCCCCGGTACCATCGTTGACGAGAACAGTGTCAAATCGGCCCCCAATTTGGCGTCCCTGAGCGTTTCGATATCCCGGTTTGATGTGAACAGTGTCCATTATATCCAGTGCACCATCCCTACCTAGCGCATCACCGTTCCAAAATTTCATGGTGTGATAGACGGAAATCTTTTCAAATGGCGTGTAGAAGTCGCCCGCACGGGCCTCCACCTGCCGCTTGGTGAGCTCCGGCCGACCAAACGAGACGGCATAGCGAGCAAAGGCATCGCGAAAATATATCGCCCCATAGTTGTTCTCGATTACGGTCAACGAAACCCCCTTTGCGGATGGATGGAGCGGCATTTGGACGTGACGGCGTCGAATAACCGCGGGAGCATGCCAGAGACTCTGAGTCTCGGTTGGCTCTGGGCTCCCCGCGATGCGCCACATGATGAATTTGTCGTGGCGAAATATCTTTTCCTTTCGCTCCAACCACAGTGTCATCTGTGTATATTCGTCCTTGCGGTTCGTGGCCCGATATGCATCCTTGGCAAGATCAATATGCAGCCACTCCGTATATTCCGTGTTGTAGTTCTCTACGGAACCGAAGAGTTTAATGGTCAAAGGATAATGGCGAAGGTTATGAAGTTTGGGAAAATTGAAGTCGGTACGGATACCGAGATCAACGAAAATCTGCTTGTTGCCGTGGAAAGATTCAAGGGCTGTATTCAAGAGAGGAAGAGTTTCAGAGGACTGCGTGGGGTACTGTGCAAGATATAAAAAGTCCAGAGACGCTCGGACAGCTCGAATGAGGCGTGTAGTTGAGCGTCTGTCGGGGAGCCGAAGGTCAACGATGAGACCCAGGAGTATTCGGCACATCTGATTATGTTCAGTTCCCGAGACACGAGACAGAGTGGTAATCCCTTTGAGGAATAGACGTGTATTGTGGTTAGGCGGCATTCTGCGACAGCGCGCATCGATTTCAACCGCCCCAAATGCTTCTGTAACCCAAGCAATAACATGCTTGATAACACCTTGATATAGCTGGTGAAGGACGTCGGAGGTGATGGAAAGAAATATATTGACGTAGGGGAGATCTTCCCAGAACGGATGGAAGATGGGTTTAATTCCAGCGCGAACACAGGCCCGAGTAAATTCAGTAGCATTCCCATCTGCCTTTTGCAACGCTTCGAGCACTGCTGAAAGATCTCGAGGCTCATACATGTCCTCGAAACTACCCAGCTCGTCCCGTGGCACAGGGCATGTCGGACACTCGCCCGTTTTCGTTGCAGTAACCAGGACCTGCTCTGGGTAATCCCCGGCGAAGACAGAGAAGATAGGGTGGCACCGCCGAACCATCCCATCGCCGCTCATCATCTCGATGCCGTCCAGTCCAGCAGGCTTCAGAGGGAGCAGTATCTTCCGCATGCACGCATGGTAGAGATTGGCCACTGCACGTCGCCGAGCAGCCTTGTTTTTGATGTGATCAAGGCGAGTGGTCGGAAGATAACCAAGTAGGACATACGCGTGGCGGGATGGTTTGCGTCGAATATCTTTGGGAATATTCCCAATGGTCATATACACAGGATACGCAGCCTTGTTGCGGAACAAGGTAGTCTGTGTCTTGTCTGTTGAAATCATGACCGGAACAATTGTAGCGCCCGCCTGGCGTTTCTCCACAACCTTCTGAAGCTCGAAGTGAGTTCCATGATTGTATCTGATGAAAGCTAAGGCGTACCTGTGTCCTCCACCACCACTCAGCAGTATGCATATCATCATACAGTCGAATAGTCTTGTCAGCATCCGCATAGTGGCGCTCCGGCATGAATACCAAGTCTTGGGCGAATTCCGGGTCGCCATACAAGGCCTTGAGACAATCAACGACGGGGCGGAAATACACATCGAATGCCTCGCCGCCCACGACAATCTCTTGCCGCTGGAATGTCGGCCGCCCAGTTGGAAGCTGCCCATCAATTAGTTTGTTGAGCTCCCGAGAGTTCTTGTAAGATAATCCGAGCGCCTGTGCAACCTGTGGGATGATCAGAATCAGGAATTAAAACTGTAGACGGGCCTTACACCGTCTATTGACAATAGATCTGTGAATGCGGTTGATGTAGAGCCTCGCAGCTTAGCTCACTTGGCTACCTCCCAGTCAACCTGAGATGCAAATGGAGCCCAGGGGTTCTTTTTACTATCTGGAATGTGTTCCGAATATTGGTTGTAGGCAGGGGGCTCCATTCGAACTGGGGCTCCTGCGCGACCACCGAAATGGGTAATGTGAGGTTGGGCTAAAAATCGTTCCTCCACAGGAGTCTCGCGGGGCTGCTCAGCCGTCGCTTGCTCAGGGAGCGGGGCGGGCTCGACGGTAGGCGATCCCATAGGCTCGTCTGGATCCTCATCAGCAGGAGGCTCCCATCCGGCAGACGGCCCATCCTCGTCGTCGGAGTCCTCAACCTCCAACAAGCCCGGTGGGCCATCATCGTCCGAGTCGGACTCCGCTCCTGGGTCATCAAAGTTTCCGGGAGCGTCCGCCTGGATCTCGGGTGAAGGAGAGCGAAGTGGGGTAAAGTCGGCGTTATTCCCATAGAGCTGAGGGACGTAGGCCTGTTGTTCCAAGTACACCTTGCGGCATGGAGGATTTGTCGTCCTCCTCAGATGAAACCCAAGACCAGTGGGTGTAAAGTCCCGCTGGCAGCCACTGCAGATCGGGCGATCGTTGGTAGAGGCAGACATTAGGGCGAACACAATCAGATATTATCCACCACCTTCTTGCTATTTGAGTAGGAAATCAATTGCGAGAATATGAACGGAACACAAATGACAGTCAATCCGCATGGTCTTGGGACCAAGGAGAGCGGGGTTGCGAGGCCGGTGTGCCCCTTGCATTCCCACTGAACGTCCAAGCTGGCAGCGGCTAATGACGGACTTTGAAAAAATCAGGAGAAATCTGAGA